CCAGTGCTCCTAACCACTGAGCCATCTCTCCAGCCCAGGACTGAACTTTTGTTTCTTTTATTTTTTCAAGACTGGGTTTCTTTGTGTTGTAACTCTAAGAGAGCTAACAAAGATTCATCATTAAGAACAAGAGTAGCCTGGAGGGCTTTAGAAGGGTCATATTGTCACTGGGAGCTTTCCTCTTGCACAAGTCCCTGCCAACGACAGATATTCCACAGTTCTCTCAAGGCTAGCTTTGGTGTGGTGATAATCAGAACTAAATTACCATGGAAATATAAAATTCTCTCATGTATGGTATCCAAGAAGTATTTGCTACCTGCCTACTTCAGGCCAAACATTCCCTAGGGCTTGAGGATACAAGTGCACAGGGCTGTTGAGCATGGTGGCACACACCTATGTTCTCAGCACTTGGGAGGCAGACACAGGAGAATCAGGAGTCCAAGGTCAGCCAGCCTGAGCGACATAGAGAGGCTCTGTCAAAAGAAAGAAGGAAGGAAGTAGGGGGGAGGGGGAGGAAGAAGGGGAGGAAACGAAGGAGAGGAAAATGAAGGGCTGGAGGGAAAGGAGCAAGACAGTGACTTCCAGTTTCATGGGAGGAACAGGGCTCAACACTTGTGTTCATCCCAGGTCCATTTTTCTGGAAGAAGTCAGGCCAGAAACCGGAAAACGGCTAAAGCCAGCCAGAGAGAGGGGGCAGCTGCAGCTGTGGTTATTCCAGCGCTGGGGAGGGGGAGCCAGATCGCAGATGACCTCGCCTTCAGGCTCTGTGGAGGGGCTTCACTGTTTGTAGCTGGCGAAGGGGAGCATGTGAAGAAAGGGGTTTTTGTTTGCTTAGATTCTCTGTTAGTGCACAGCTAGCATACTGCTGGGCCATCTCTTCCACCCTAAATGCAAAGGCTTTATATTTGTTTATTTATTTATCTATCTATTTATTTATTTATGGTTTTTGAGACAGGGTTTCCCTGTAGCTTTGGAGCCTGTCCTGGAACTCACTCTGTAGAACAGGCTGGACTCAAAAAGATAACATCTGCCTCTGCCTCCTGAGTGTTGGGATTGAAGACCTGTGCCACCACCTCCCGGCCAGGCTTTGTTTTGACTTTTTCTTGATGTATTATTATGTAGCCCAGGCTGTCCTGGAACTCTCTCTGTAGCCCAGGCTGGCCTTGAACTCACAGAGATCCACCTGCCTCTGCCTTCTGAGTGCTGGGATTCAAGGTGTGCACCACCATACTCAACTATGGAGGTTTTATTTCTGATTTCATTTGTTATGTTTGCAGTGCTGAGGCTTGAACTCTAATCTCCACAAATGCTCAGCAAGTGCGCCACCGCCCAGCTTTCACTCTCACTCCACTTTTTGACTTAAAGGAAAATGTTTGTTTATTATCGTGTGCCTATGTGACTCCTGCATGAGTTTATTCAAGTCCAGAGGGCTTGAATCCTCTAGAACTGAAGTTACAAGTGGTTGTGAGCTATCTGTAGTGGGTGCCAGTAACCCAGTGTGGGTCCTGAGGGCAGGAGCTAGGTAGGACCTCTGCAAGAGCAGTAAGCTTTCAAGACAGGGTTTCTTTGGGTAACTCCGGCTGTCTGGAACTTACTCTGTAGACCAGGGTGGCTTCGAACTCACAGGGATCCACTTGTCTCTGCCTCCCGAGTGCTGGGATTAAAGGTGTGTGCTACCACCGCCTGGCCAGTGGTTTTTTAGGTAGTTATTTCATTATCAGTGACAGCAGACAAAGGGTCGATACAGAGGCATGTGGTGTAGGACTTTAATCCCAGCACTAGGAGACAGAGGCAGGCAGATCTCTGTGTGTTTGAGGCCAGCCTGGTCTACAAAACAAGTTTTCCAGGACAGCCAGGAGTGTTACATAGAGGCCCTGTATTGAAAAATCAAAGAGGGAAGGGGGGGAGGAAAAGGGAGGGAGGAAGAGAGAGGGAGAGAGAGAGAGAGAAAGAGAGAGAGAGAGAGAGAGAGAGAGAGAGAGGTTAGACTTGTGAAGTATTTAGGAGGTGACTGAAGACCTGCCACACTGATGTTTGTCGCTGATTGGGGAGAGGGAGCTTCAAGGTGCAGGTGGCGAGGAGAGTGCACACGTTTCCAGCTGGACTGTCTTGGCAAGTGCAGAAGCCTGAGGAGCCTTGGGAGAAGGTCTAGTGGGGTGCGGAGTTTGATTTCAAGGTATCAGAAACTCCACAAGGAGCTGCCTAGAGGCAGCTGCAGGGGCTGTGGTGGAGCTCAAATTGAGAGTTGTGATGTCATCAACCTCAACTTCAGCCAAATGGAAAACAGAGCAAAACTACTTTCCGAAATGTTGACAATGATGCCAGCTTGGAAAACAAAGCAATTACAATGAAACTGCTTATCTTTCCTTGCACTGATTTTACCTGTTGGCATTTTCCAAGGATCCCTATCTTCTCTTTCCTTCCTCCCCCAAGTGTGGCAGGGTCTGACTGTATCACAATCCTGTCTTCATCTCTGAAGTCAGCTGGGATTGCAGGTGTGTGTCATCAGGCCTGCTACATGGTTTTCTTATTTCAAGGCCTCACAGAGATCTGCCTGTCCCTGCCTCCTAAGTGCTAGCATTAGTGTGTATATCTAGTCCAAGAGATATTTTTTAACATTTATTTTAATTATCATTTAAAATTATGTGTTCGTGTGTGTGTGTGTGTGTGTGTGTGTGTGTGTGTGTGTGTGTGTAGGTATGTGCGTGTGTAGGTATGTGCATGTGAGTACAGGTGCTTTAGGAGGCCCCCTGAGCTTTAACAAAAGCTTCCTAAGAGCCCATTTCCCCCAGGGTGTGGGAGCTCTGACTAGCAACATCAGCTTCTGACACACCAGGGAACCAGTTAGCAAATCATCTTTATGGTGTCGTCCCTGGCGTCCTAACAGCCCTGTGTTCCTTCTGCAACCCTAACCCTCAAGAAGACAGTTCATACTGGAGGACGTTTGCTTTGCTGGAAATGCCAGAGAAATGGTAACATCCCAAATACATTACACAGGAGGTTCCTGGTTACGCTTCAGCTCTATTAGCATACTCCTTTAACTTCCTTTCCAGACACGGAAGACACAGAACTGGTAGAGGGTTCTGCTTGTTCTAGAACCGAGGACTGAACTCAAGGCCTCCCCTATGCTAGGTACCTACTCCACTTCTGATAACATTCCAGCAGCCCCATGCCTTTTTAAATTTAAATTATGTTTATGTGTTTTGCTTCATGCATGTTTGTCCACCACAAATCCAGTACCTAGAGAAGCCACAAGAGAGCATCCAATCCCTAGGGCTGTAGTTCTAAACAGTTTGGAACTGTCATAGGGGAGCTAGGAATTGAACCCAGGTAGGTGCTTTAGAAGAGCAGTAGGTGAGCCGGGCGGTGGTGGAGCATGCCTTTAATCCCAGCACTCGGGAGGCAGAGACAGGTGGATCTCTGTGAGTTCGAGGCCAGGCTGGACCGACAGCCTCCAAAACAATACAGAGAAACCCTGTCTCGTAAAACCAAAAAAAAAAAAAAAAAAAAAAAAAAAAAAAGAGCAGCAGGTGGTCTTAATCACTGAGCTATCAATGCTGTTCTGCCTAGTTCCAAACCCCTGGTTTCAAATGATTCTCAGTTGGGCAGAGGTGGCGCACACCCTTAAATCCGAACACTCTGTAGGCAGAGGCAGGTGATTTCTTAAATTTGAAGCCAGGCTGGTCTACAGAGTAAGTTCCAGGACATTTTAATAACTGTTGGGGGCTGAAGAGATGGCTCAACAGTTAAGGGCACTGACTGCTCTTCCAAAGGTCTCTGGTTCAATTCCCAGCACCCACATGGCAGCTCAAAACTGTCTGTAACTACAAGATCTGACACCCTCACCCAGACATACATACATACAGACAAAACACCAATAGCTCAGAAGAGGGTCTTGGATCCTCTGGAGTTATGGACAGTTTTAAGCCATGTGGGGGTTGGGACTCAAACCTGGTCCTTTCCAAAAGCAAGAACTGCTCTTAAACACTGAGCTACCTCTCCAGCCCCTGATCTTGTCTTGAATCACAAGCTCTAACAGTTTCTGAGATGACCTGATTGTTTTGCTATTTGGGGGTGGGGGGTTTGAGACAGGGTTTCTCTGTGTAGCCCTAGCTTTCCTGGAATTCATTCTGTAGACCCTGGCCTCCAACTCAAAGAGGTCCTCCTGAGTGCTGGGATTAAAGGCATGCACCACCATCGCTGGACTGTTTTGTTATTTGTTTATTAACTTATTTGGGATGGGGGAAGCACAGGCCAATATCATGGCAGTCGGTCAGGACAACTTCCAGGAGTTTTCTGTCACAGGATTTGAACTCAATCAACAGGCTTCTCCTTTACCCACTGAGTGGTCTCACTAGCTATTGTAGTTGTTTTCCTTGTTTGTGTGGAGACAGGCCACTGGCCTCAGACTCAAGAGACCCCACCTGACTCTGCCTTCTAAGCACTAGGATAAGAAGTATGCACCATTATGCCTGGCTCTTGTGGTGTTTCCAGAAGCTTTCTCTTTTAAAAAATAAAGATTTCTTTATGAGTGCTCTATCTGTATGGACACCTTTGTTCCAGAAGAGGGCATCAGATCCCACTATAGATGGGTGAGCCTCCGTGTGGTTGCTGGGAATGAACTCAGGAAGTGTAGCCAGTGCTCTTAACCACTGAGCCATCTCTCCAGTCCCCAGAAACTCTCTTTTTAAAACAAAGACTCCAGCTTTTCTTTGGGATGTGCTTTCCTATTTCTTGCAAAGCTAGTGAGATATTCATACCCAATACTTCCATGTTGCTTTTTCACTGGCATGGACCTAGAAACTTTTACACTGACTAGATGAGATTTAGCATACTCAAAGAGTTCAAGGCACTGACTGTATTCACAATTCCCACAGGACAGCCTAAGCAAAATACCTATGCACAAAGCATAAATGTAAAGGTGATCATGCCCAGGTTTGAACAAACCTGATAAGCAGCTCTGATATCAACCTGTTGAGATTACCAAAATAACTGAGTTGTTTTGATTTTAAAAATTATACCTTTAATTATAGAATGCTGTTAGGATGATACAGCTATAGACAAGACAATAGGGTAATTGACCAATACCAAGGGAATCTGCTCTACACATTTACTTGTTCATCCACTCTCCACGACCATAAGCACAGGCACAGAGTGTCTGGGCAGGTACAGAAACAGCCAGGGACCTGCAAACAGAAGGCATGCAAATAGCATCAGTGAAGTGTGGCAGATGCACGGCTTCCACACAGCTCAGCACAGGAAGTGGGCAGCAATTGATCTCAGGAGAGAGGGCAGAGCTGGAGGCCCACCCAGCTGGAGTGTGCATGTATGGAGAGATGGGAAGGCAATCAGAAACCTTTCCCAAGCTTTCATCTCCTAGAAGGCAAAAGCATCAGATGGGACTCTAGCGTAACCTTTAAAGGGAGGCTGGGGGGGGAGGGGCAGGGTAAGCACAGGGGAGGGGAAGGGGGGTGAAAACATGTTGGGTCGGAGGTGCTGTCTTTTATGAGCTACTCCCAGGCAGTCACTTACAGTGACTTTAAAGGAGCAACAGGAGAATGCTGAAATCCACCCAAGTCACTGGCTACACTGATACAGACAACATATTTGAGTTTAGTTACCAAGAATATGTAAGTTGCCTAACAGTTAAAATATGAATACCCATGATAGGCTAGATTTTGTACAGACAGAAACCAAGTGCCCTGCTCCAAGTTCTTACTCAAATGGGAGTGACCACTTCAAGGCCCTCGGAGTGGTTTTTCAATGGGTTGCTTTGAGGTTGTCACTGGTGAGTGACTGGTATCACCCAGCTGTGCTCACAGTGACTCTAGTGAAAGTGCTACTCCTGAATGCCAAATCCCAAAGAATTCCAACAAAGAAGGGTTTTCTTCTTTTTCTGTTGTTTTTCAATACAGGGTCTCTTTGTGTAGCCCTGGCTGTCCTGGAACTCCCTCTGTAGACCAGTCTGGCCTTGAACTCACAGAGCTCTGCCTGCCTCTGCCTCCTGAGTGCTAGGATTAAAGGCATGTGCCACCCTTACCCATCCTCCCCCCCCCCAGAAAAAAAGTTTTCTTAAAAAAAAGAAAAAGCTAACATTTGCAACTTTGCACTAAGCACCATAGAAAGCCACTGGGCACCGGTTCCCGGCCATCCCCATGGGGCTGGATAAGCACCAATATCCGGCCTATCTCAATTCCTGCTCGGGCTGAGAGAAGGAGAGCTGAGGTACTGGGCTACACTGCGTCAACTCTCGTTTAACTATTTTTATCAGGAGGCCGGAAACACATTCCTCTTTAGGGTTACTCATTTCTTCTGATGAGGCCAAAGAGGTTTTCTTCACAGGAGAAGATAATTCAGTCTGAGAAATGACAAAGGACTTAATTGTTCAGTCATTATCTCACAACTGATGGACACATACAAACAAGAGTTTGGTTCTGTACAAAACAAAACCTTACAGGACAGTGCACTCCTGAGCACTAGTGTCAAAATTCTTTCCATCACAAAAGAAAAATAAAGGACATTTCTCACAACGGAGTTATGTCTACAGTTCTGTCTTATGATCTACATCACATAAGAACATGCTGATTCTTATGAATTCCGTGTCTGCTATTAGAATACACATTTCACTGTACATACACATGCCTTTATGCAAGCTACGATAAAGACTCGGGTGTGGCCCTATCAAATCCTAGAGTTAGCAGTACGGGGCAAGTGATCTTAAAAGTTAGATGGCTAAGAACCCAGAAATGGCTGACACCCCTGGGACAGGTTCTGCGCCCCCTTCCCTGAAGGGGTCAATTCACGTCCTACTTTAATTCCATCATCACTTACGGTCCTATCTTTTCCTAAAGGCAGTTTCCATACCATGATCCCTAAAGCGATTTTTGAAGAAAATGCATAAACCTGATGAATGGGCATCTCTTGCTAAGGTCAGACCTGATTAATGACAGCATCAATGGGTACCCTTGCTAAGGTCACGTGACCACCATCCATGGGCCCTTGGTCCTCAGGCCTGCGCCTCCTTTTTCCTTTCACATTGTATCTTCCAGTAGCTTTCAAAAACATGCAAGCTATACACAAGTGAGAAACAATGGGAAACGATGAGATGGCTGCCTTCAGTGTGCACAATCCTGTGCCGAGAAGAGGGCAAGATACCAAAATGAGCTACTCAAGGAAGAAGCCCTTTGGAAGGGAAGTGTGTGAGCCAGCTACTGCTGTGTGTGAGCAATGGCAGCCCAGGGCTGGTTTGCCTGTCTCCTGCCATGACCTTAGCAAGAGATACCCATGTTCAGTTCTGCACTCCCACTGCCGTCTTTTTGGATCAGAGATCCAAGAGAAAAAAAAACTTTCTGAAGATCTACTCCATCTCCAGGCCTAAGCATCTGCCAGCATCTTGTCCTCCGGTCTTGAGCTTTCAAGTTACTTGGGATGGGGGCTGATTTTGATGAAGCAATTCACATAATAATCATCGAATAAAAATAACTATTTGCGGGGAGGGGATAACATCCCCAAAGCTGTGGGTCGGAATTTCAAAAGGGTGGTCTTCTTCCATGTTCTAAACAAGGGAAGTCTGTCTCAAGGAGGCTCACTGACATCAGATACAACTGTACCTTCAATTGAGTCGTTTCTTACTCGGGATCACAGGGCTTAGTCAGTATGGACTCTCTTGTGTTTAATAAGAGCTGAGCTCCGGCTGAAGCTCTTGTCACATTCGGTACATTCGTAAGGCTTCTCTCCCGTGTGAACTCTCTGATGTGTGATGAGGTTGGAGCTTTGCGTAAAGCCCTTTCCACACTGCACACACTCGTAGGGCTTCTCTCCTGTGTGGGTTCTCTGGTGCTTAATCAGATCTGACCTCTCCCCAAAGCTTCGCCAACACTCGTTACACTCATAGGGCTTCTCCCCGGTGTGGATTTTCTGGTGTGTGATCAGATGGGAACTCCGGCTGAAGCTCTTCCCACAGGCGGTGCATTCGTACGGCTTCTCCCCCGTGTGAGTCCTCTGGTGCTGAACCAAGTGTGAGATGCGGCTGAAGTTTTCCCCGCATTCGTTACAGTGGTACGGTTTCTCCCCCGTGTGAGCCCTGCGGTGCCGCACCAGGTCGGAGTTCTGGCTGAAATTCTTCCCGCACTCATCGCACTTGTAGGGCCTCTCACCGGTGTGGACGCGATAGTGCTTGATGAGGTCGGATCTCTCGCTGAAGCCTCGCCCGCACTCGTTGCACTCGTACGGCTTCTCCCCCGTGTGAGTCCTCTGGTGCTGGGCCAGGTGGGAGCTCCGGCTGAAGCTTTTCCCACACTCCTCGCACTCGTACGGTTTCTCCCCGCTGTGCGTCCGCTGATGCTGGATGAGGTGCGAGAGCCGGCAGAAGCTTTTGCCACACTCGCTGCATTTGTGAGGCTTCTCCCCGGTGTGGATCGTCTGGTGCTGAATGAGGTGAGAGCTCCTCCCGAAACTCTTGCCGCACTCGTTGCAGTCGTACGGCCGCTCGCCAGTGTGTGTCCTCTGATGCTGGATGAGGTGGGAGCTGCGGCTGAAGCCCTTTCCACATTCGTAACACTTGTAGGGTCTGTCTCCCGTGTGGGTTTTCTGGTGTCGATTGAGGTCTGAAATCTGACTGAAGGCCTTTCCGCACTGCGAACAGATGTGATAGCGGATGTCCGCGTGGACTTCTTTGTGGACAAGCAGGTCAGTGACCTGCTGGAGGGGGTAGCTGACCCACTCTTCTGCTGCCAGGTCTCCCCACTGTCTTTCCGACCTGTCCCCACTTTCAAAGACCTCTTCGCTTTCAGGATTCTTCTCAGCATCTCCAATAGGCTCTTCGGACATGGTCACAAATTCTACATCTTCACTAAGCTCTTGTTTCTGGTTTACTTCATTCTCACTCCTGATCTCAAAATCTGTAAGGAAGAGTAAACAGCGTGGAGACCGTCAGTGCACGACACTAAGGGGTTCTATTTATTCCTCTACTCATGGTGCTGCAGAGTAAACCCAGGATTTTGGGCTTGGCATTTAAGTGCTCTACCACTCAGCTACACCACGCCCAGCTCCAGTACCGCGTTCTCTTTCTTTTATTTTTTCTCTTTAGTTTGTTTCAGCAGCAGGTAAGAATGTAAAAGTGGGAAGAACGTACATCATCCACAGAGGAGGGTGGATTGAGCCAAACAGCAATGGTGACATACTAAACTCTTCTTTTTTTTTTTTTTTGTTTTGTTTTTACGAGACAGGGTTTCTCTGTATTGTTTTGGAGGCTGTCGGTCCAGCCTGGCCTCGAACTCACAGAGATCTGCCTGCCTTTGCCTCCCGAGTTCTGGGATTAAAGGCGTGTGCCACCACTGCCCAGCGACATACTAAATTCTTAACATGAATATCAATTATCATGACAGTTCCTCTCCATGAAGGAGAGATCCAAGACTCAGAGAAGTGAAGTGACTTTCTCAAGGTAACATGGTACACTGGCTAAGACGGCATGCATACTGCTCTTATAGAGAACCTGGGTTTGGTTGCCAAGACCCACACCAGGCAACTCACAACCACAAATCCCAGCTCTAGGGATCCAATGCATTCTGGCTTCTGTGGGCACAAACCCACACTCATATGCACACAACTAAACAATAAAGACAAAAGTCTAAATATCAACTCAAGTTTGTCTAAGTTCAGGCTCTTTGGTTAATTCTTATTTAAGAAACTATTCTTGGCATTTTGAAAAAGGGAATCAATCAGAGACCATAATTAGAATATCTAAAAGACTCTACAAAAATTTGGGGGCATGTGTCATTTTATTTAACTTGTCAAGCCTTCTTAATTATCATATTAGATTTACCGAGATTACTATGAAGAGAAGCTATTTTTTAAGTTTCTCTATCAGGGATATTTGTTTGTGACAGGGTCCCTTAGCTGGCCTAGAACTCACTTTGTCCGGTGACACTGAATGTCTCATCCTTCTGACTCTACAGAGCAGTGAACACTGGTGCACACCACGGAAGCAGCTCCTGTGTCACGTCTTCACCTCTTTTTTAAAAAGATTTACTTATTATGTATACAGTGTTCTGCTTGCATGTACCATTGCCGCCAGAAGAGAGCACCAGATCGCACTATAGAGGGTCATGAGCCACCACGTGGTTGTTGAGAATTGAACTCAGGACCTTTGGAAGAACGGTCAGTGCTTTTAACCTCCAACCCCATGTCTTCACCTCTTACTTGAAAGAAAAAGCAACTTACAAATGTCACTTAAAGTTGGAGAACACAGAGATGCTTGGCTCAGAGAGGAGTGTTGGGGGAACAAACCCGAGGTTCCATGCATGCTAAGCATGTGTTCTACCACTAAACTACACACCAGAAACAGCTCTAACTCCACACCAGAACCAGCTCAGCCCAGTTTTGGAACTAAGTAAGTATACTGTATATACGTCAACATTTCATATATTTCAAGTGTGAAGATAAAAAAAAATATGTAATCAGCTTTAAGGAACCTCTGGCAGACACTACATTTTCCAAATTGGGTTTCTTAGTACATACCAGAAAACTGCATTGCAAAGGGCCTATGAGTAAATTAATTTGGTTAACTAGTCACAAAAACAAAACAAAAAATAAACAAATAAAAGACCCAAAGAAGGGCTAGGAAGATGAGTCAGTGGATGAAGTATTTGTTATACAAACATTGGACTCTGGGTTGGGACATCAAGGATACACATAAAAGCTGGGCATACCATTAATCCCAGCACTTGAGAGAATGGAGTCAAGTAGATCCTGGGGACTTGCTAGTCAACCAGTCTCACTGAGAGCTAGCTCGAGGTTCAATAAGAGGCCTTGTCTCAAAAAATAAGGTGGAAGCAGATAGAGAAAAGTACTAGAAGTGGACCTCTGGCTTATGGACAGACAGGTGTCAATTGTATACACACACACACACACACACACACACACACACACACACACACACACGAAGAAGAAACAGAAAAGAAATCTAAGCATACACCTTTAATCCCAGCACTTGGGCAGGAGAGGAAGGGGGATCTCTGTGAGTTCAAGGCCAGCCTGGTCTACAGACAGAGTTCCAGGACAGCTTCCAAAGTCACAGAGAAACCCTGTCTCGGAAAAAAAATTTTAAATAGCCATAGCTATGTTATTTACCCAGATCTATTGCAAATACAACTCCACAAAACAATAAAAAAAAGAAAGAAAAGGGAGCTTTTTTTCTTGTTTGCTTGTTTTTCTCCCCCCAAAACAGGGTTTCTCTGTAGCTTTGGAGTCTGTCCTGGAACTCACTCTATAGGCTGGGCTGGCCACAAATTCACAGAGATCCTCACCTCTGCACCCTAAGTGCTGGGATTAAAGTTGTGTGCTACCACCACCTGGCAGAAAAGAGCATTTTTAAAAATACATGCTTGACGGGCATTAGTGGTGCAAGCCTTTAATCCCAGCACTCGGGAGGCAGAGGCAGGCAGATCTCTATGAGTTTGAGACCAGCCTGGTCTACAGAGGGAGTTCCAGGACAGCCTCCAAGACAATACAAAGAAACCCTGTCTCGAAAAACAAAAACAAAAAACAAAAACAAAAAAAATCATGCTCTTGTATCCCAATAGACTAAGAGCACTTCTTAGATAGATCACCAACAGCCTTGTTGCTTACCCAGATAAATCTAGGGGAGGGTTAACAAATGTTTCCAAAGCACTTTGTTGTTTTGTTTCTCCTTTTAATGTGTATGGACATTCGGTCTGAGTGAATGTCTGTGCACCATGTGCATGTGTGATGCCTCTAGAGGCCAGAAGAGGGCATCAGATCCCCTGGAACTGGAGTTACAGACAGTTGTGTGCTGCCTGATGTGGGTGTCAGGAACTGTATTCAGGTCTTCTTGCAACAGCAGCAAGTGCTCTGGACCACTGAGCAATCTGTCAGGCTTTTCAAGGTGTTTTTCTTTGTTTATCTCAGGATCCCTTAGATCCTTTAATGTATCATTAAATATTTGGATTTTTTTTTTCTTTTCATGATAGGGTTTCTCTGTGTAATAGCTCTGGCTGTCTTGGAACTCGATTTGTAGACCAGGCTGGCTTGAACCTTGAACTCACAGAGATCCCTCCTTCCTCTGCTTCCCAAGTGCTGGGAGTAAAGGATTGCCCGCCACCACCTGGCTATTTAATTTTTACTTCATTTTTAATTCTGTGCCTGTGTCTGGGTTGGGGTATGGGTACGTGTGATTGCAGATGCCCTTCAGGGGCCAGAAGAGGGCATCTGATCCCTTGGAACTTGAGTTACAGGTGGTTGTGAGATGCCTGGTGTAGGTGCTGGAAACTGAACTCAAGTCCTCAGCAATAGCAATACATGGTCTTAACAACTGAGCCATCTCTTCAACCCATTTTTATTTTTGTTCATTTTGTTTTTGATAGTGGAGTTGTTGCTATTGTTTTTAAGGAACAACTGAAGGGACAAAGAAAGGTTCAAGGAAGAAGCCAGATAGGGGAACAAATCAGAATAAAGTATACCAATACATATATGAAACACATCACAATGAAACCCATTACTTACTATCACCTAAAAATGAATAAAAAGATAAATAAAAAGAAGAATCCAAAGAAATTGGGACATCAGAAAAAGTCTAAGCTAAGAAAACCCCTCAGGTCACCTTTTGTTCTGAGAATAAAAACATTTAAAGTATCTTAGTCCCGTGCTTGGCTTTATGTAGCTCTGAGGACCAAACCCAGCACTTCAAGTATTCGAAACGCTTTCCACTGCGCTGCATCCCGAGCCTCACAAGTCCTCCTCTAATCAGGGTCGGACGGACGATCGCCTCTGAAACAGTTCCAGACAAGAACCTTCCTCGACAAAGGCAAAACTGCAGCTATGGAGCCAAAACAAACACAAAACAGGTGGATCCTGCCTTTCTGTGAACCTGCCTCAGAACCCCTCATCTCCTAGCGCCCCAGAGAAAAGCGCCCCAGAGAAAAGCGCCATTTACAGGGCATGTATGACCTGGCAGGCACCACAGTGTCAGACCTGTTTGGTCAGTGACCTGTACAAACAGGCTGCAGGATGTGCAGGATGGCAAGTGACTCAGGGCATGAGAATCCTAAAAGGCCTAAAAGTCTCTAAAACTGCAGAAACTCCTTTCTTTTTCTTTTTTCTTTCTTTTTTTTTTTTTTGTTTTTTTGTTTTTTATTTTTTTGAGACAGGGAGACAGGGTTTCTCTGTGGCTTTGGAGCCTGTCCTGGACCAGGCTGGTCTAGAACTCGTAGAGATCTGCCTCCCAAGTGTTGGGATTAAAGGCATGCGCCACCAACACTCGGCCCTTTCTTTTTCTACCATATAACATAGATCATCCACATTTAAAGCTTTGCATAACGGTGTGGTTTTCCTAAAAACAAAAACAAAAACAAAAAACCAAGTCTATATCAAAAAGACTTAAGCCATTTTTTTGACAGTTTCAAGACAGGAGTTGAAAACGGATAAAACCCTCACTCACCCAGTGAGACAACATTTCCGTAATTCTCCTGCATCACATCCCTGTAAAGGTCTCTCTGTGTAGGATCCAGGGGTCTCCATTCCTCCCGAGTGAGGTACATGGCCATATCTTCAAATGTCACAGGGGCCTGAAATCACACAATGCTTCCTCACTACTTAGTACCTAGGAGTTTAGTACCAGCTTTTCTTCTTGAAATTAGAGACATGGTTAGAAATGTCGAGAAGGCAATGGCATTAAGTCTGATCTGTAGAGTCCAAAGAAGAAATAAGAAAGAAAGAAAGAAAAAAAAAAAGACATGTGGTCAAAAGGCAGGGACAATCTACTAGCTGCCTCCTCGGGCAATGTACTAGATATCCCTGCCCGCTTGGGGACCCTTATTCCCTGGCCACTTCCTTTTCAGAACTTACATGGCTCTATATCTCTACACACAATGTTCTTTTCTAAGACCAGTGAAATTCTCCTCTATATGGTCCAAAGTGCCAACTGTTGTTCTGTCTCCCCACCCTCCCGTTTGCTCTTCACTCCTTCCTCGGATGCCTCACCTAGGAGTTAATCACTGCACGATTTACTGATTCCCACACCACAACACTTTCTTGCTAAGGCAAAGTACTTATCACATTGTATCAAGGATAACCGTATGCACCTCTCTCCCTACAGATTGTTGGCAAGGAGGATACTACCCATCTTGTCCGGTTTTATTCTCCTTAGTATTTAAAGACATACAGTAGATGTTCCATATATGCTTGTATATGGCTAAATCAGCCAGCGCTAAGCCCCTGCAGCAGAATAGGGAAATGGGCTAATCCCAGGGAATTTCCTATAGGGGTCTGCAGAACGGGGAAACACCGGGCCAGATGGGTAAGCAAAGGCGAGGGACGGGAAGCCGGGGGTGGGCTTACCTGGGACCCAGCCATGAGCAGGGTGGCTGCCATCTCAGGCTCAAGCGTTCGTCTCCTGGGAGGGAGAGCAGGAAAAGCAGCCAGCAGACAACGCTGAAGGAGACGAAAAGCAGGGAGTGAGGCGCGGCTAGAGGCCCTGCCCACTCCCTAGGGCTGGAGTTCTGGTCGCAGGGTGTGCGGGGACGAGCCAGGACCGGTCACTCTCCTCCCTGATCCCCGAACGTGACCCGCTGTCCGTGTCTCCGTTAATACCGAGTACATGCAATGAAAGGGAGCACAGCCTCTGGCTAGGCGACCCCTGGGCTGGGGGGGTCAGGCCGATGCTATTTGAGGGAGGAGGCTTTCAACCCAACCCTACAGAACGCCTCTGCTCTTCCATCTCCGGGCTAGGGCCTTTCCGGCAGCAACCTCAGCCAATCAGCAAAAGAAAATCAGAAAACACGGGACCAATCAGATGCCAAATCATCAGCCCTCCTCCTGCCGCGTGGCCGAGCATCCCCACCACGCGTGCGTGCGCCTCGCGGCCTGCCGGGACTTGAAGTTCCACTCTGGCGTACAAAGGCCACTTAGAGGCCAAGAGCGGGGTGGGAAAAGAACAAAAGGGAGGAGACAGGACCACGTCCTTCAAGACCAGACGGAGTAACCTCCACTTCTTCTCAGAGACCACAGCACGACTCAGTAAAGGAGGCTTCCCTGTTTTTTCTCATGGGCCTGCGGCCGTCTTTGAATCAGATATTATCCGCGATGTCAGACTAAGCGTGGCGGCCTGGGCTGAACTCAGCTGGGATCAGCCCTCATTTGACAGTCCAGGCCAGGGCGGGAAAAGGCTCCAGGTCCCTCCCTCGGGAGACTCCCAAGCCGCGATGGAACTTTGGGCCCCGCCCACGTACTCACAACACCTCCCAGCGCCGCCTGCAGCGGTTACTCTGTGTCCCGAGAACTACAACTCCCAGCAGACCCTGCGACATTCGCAACCCGCCTGCAGACTACATATCCCAGGAGGCTTCGTGCTACGCGCCCTGTGGGAGTGCAGTCCGCAGCGCGACCCGGGGTATCCTGTTAACCCTGTCGGGAGCTTCTCGGGCTCCTTTATAGAGACTGGACCCAAGTGCACTTATCTAAACCGCCGGAACACTGAAATCAGAAGCAGAGAAGGAGCTAGGGTGTGTAGGGAGATAACTGGCCTCAGAGTGGAGACTCAAGGACCTTGCACTCTTGACCATCTCTCTGTTGAATGAATTCTTGAAGACCTCCCAACAGCTTGGAGACCGTGACCCCGAAAGGATCCTAAGGATGTTAGCAATCTATGTCTGTTTCAAAGGAGCCACAAACTGGGTTAGGGTAGAACGAATAGGCTTACCTCCTGGTCTGTAAAAGATCCAGTGGATCGCTGCTTCCAAGATCCCCAAGCCTCAGAATTCTAAAGAGCCCTGATCGAAAAGATTCTACATATCACCAGCAGATTCCGGAGATCTCAGAGCCACGGGTAGAAATCCGAATCCATAAACAGGCAAAGGCCAGCATTCAATGGTAGGATTGAGCCCAAAGCTTCAAGGTTTGCAGAGATCTCAGACTGTTCTATTGCTTGGAGAAACCACAAGCTCATAAACAGATCCCTGAGGCCATAACAGCTGGCCAAGAAACACCCCAACAGCGACTAAGATACATTCAGTAAGAATTCTCCAAACAGAAAGACTTGGAGCCTTCTCCTTCCTCAGCCTGGATGAAGGACTTAGACAATGGAAGGCGAGGGCTAGGCAAAGCAGGCATTCTGTGCAGGAAGAGCTCCCAGCTTGCTGTAGCCTTGGAGAGGGAAGTGATGGAAAAAGAATATAGCAGCTTATTAGGGACTCCCACCCTCTTCAAGTTATAAATATCCCCAGAACCTTGGCTTGATGCCCAGAAGCCTGTTGTCTCTGACTGAACAGGAGACTGCTCTGCCTGGGCTGGGGAAAGGGACTTTTGTTTTGCAGATACATCCTCGCACTGAAGGACTTTAAAACATTTTTTTTTCATATATGACTCCCGACCATGCTTTTATTAGAGTGTCCTGTTCCCTGTGCCCAGTTATTTATGGCTACATGGCTCAAGGATCTAAAAATGAGCTAGCAGAACCCCTACCAGTCATAATACATCTCTTCTACCTGTGCTTCTCTTCCACTCCCAAAGCTGGGTCACAAAAATGTTTAGATGCCACAGAATTGTTCCGTCCTACCTACTGTAAAATTGGCCCAGCCACCATGTAAATTAGAATCCTGAAGGATTTACAAGAGTAAGAAGAATGTGGGCATAAAGGTCAGACGATGAAAAATTGGACCATAAGTATTTGGACAGGTCCTGTCTTTGGTAACAGGAGAAACTTCCAGAAAGGTTCATGGGTATATTTGATGGCCTGAAGGTCTGGGGAATCATAGCAACTCTGGGGTGACCTTATCCTCACTCTATTGTTTCTGCTGGAAATACATAAGGAGGCGGAAGTTGAGCCAGTGGGCGGGTTCAAGTTCACGGTATGTGTGTGTATTCAAGCCTGGTATATGGGATTGCCAGCAACCCAGAAAGTTGAGGCCTCTCTCAGAAAACTGAGTGATCAAAAAACAGGGGTCACTAACTGAACTCCCAGAAACAGAGGGTGACTGGTGCAAAGTTGGGCTGCTTAACTACAGGTCTCTTACGGTGAGAGAACCCAGCCTCACCTTGGAAGAGGCTCCCTTTTCAGGTCTCTGCTAGCAGATTGCTTTGTAAACTCTGAGCCTTTTGTGCAGTCAAGCTTTTAAGCCTCCTTTGTCCCCGTTGATGTTCCTTTTATTCCCAAGGATGGAGCCCGGGGGCAGGTTGGCTCTGTGTGCCCTGCTTGTCAGCTTGCCTGGGAAGTAAGTGCTTTTTCTTTACCACCTGGGAATGGGGAGAAGGTCTGAGCAGGATGTTCCATTACCTGGGAGAGTGAGGCAGGAAAGACGGGCTGTGGGTCTTCCTGTAGCAGCTTGCTGCTTATCTCAGAGGGTGTGTGTGGGGGTCACTGGAGGAGGCAGCTACTTCCTGCCCTATTGTTCAGTGCCATTCAAAATATGGTTTTGAGTTTTCTAGAGTGAATTGGAAAGTCCTGTCTGTCCCCATCACTCATCAGATGATGAGCACCTCCTGTGTGTGGAGGCTTCAGTAGAGCTTGGCCCTGGGGAAATGAGGATCTTCCTTGCAGGTCTTCAAAACATGCATTTGCAGCAGGATCATTGTTCCTATGGGGCTCTGTAAATGGTTGTTTTTAATAAACATTTTTCTAAAGATTCATTTTATTAACTCCTCCTCATCCCGTGTGTGTGTGTGTGTGTGTGTGTGTGTGTGTGTGTGTGTGTGTGTGCTTGTGTGTAGGTGACCTGAGAAAGCCAGGAGTCGGATCCCCCTGGAGCTGGAATTACAGGCCATTGTGAGCCTTCCAATGCTGGAAGAAACTCCAGTTCTCTAAAAGAACAAGCGTTTTTAATCTCTGAAGCAGCGCCCCCGCCCTATATCTTAATAAATCTTATGGTTATCTATGAGCAGTCCAAATGTAGCTTTTCTTTGTTATCAGCAGCACCAATCTACTAAACGTTTTAAAATATGGCTCCATATTTGTAATTCTATTTTCTCAATTTTCTTTTTTCAAAGGAAATGACCTGGACTTCCCTCGACCTTAGAGCTGCACCCAGACTTGCATCCTGCCATGTCCCTGCCCACCACCCACTTCTCCCTGGGAAGGAAGGAGGCTTTGCGGTGGAGTGATGGAGGTGACACCCAGGCAGTCTGGCAGATTCGTGGGCATATCAGAGAGGGAGATTGGAGGAGGGAGAGCTTTAGTCTTGAACAGTTTGTGCAGAGGCACAGAGGCATGAAAGGACAGCTCTGTTCCAGCATGGCTTGGTTCCTTAGGACCTGAGGGAAGGGTGGCAGAGCAAAGAAGCAGGGCGAGGACAGTGTCTCATATTCCCTTGCATGCCTGTCTGTCTCTGCCTTTGGCTGCAGATCAGTGATCAGCGAAGCTGGTAGTCAGTCCTGCATGAAGGGCAGGGGGCGGGGCAGCTGGGTGAGAACAGCAGATGGGCTCTGCAGGAGGAGGGCAGGACACAGAGGGCTGGGGCACTTGGTCCCATAATACTTCTGCTGGTTTTCTCCCAAGAGAGGATTTTCCCAAAAATGTAGAGCATAGCTTAAGAAAATGCACAACTAACTGATTTGGTATTGTCTAGGCTGTTTAAGAACATCAACTGGACCCAGGTTATTATGCCCTTTCTGTACTAGATACTAAACTAGGAACTGGACACCACCCCCTAAATGGCTGCAGGACTGCGGTGAGGATTAAGCATGAGGGCACAGGAGGGAGTTAAATGTGTCCCAGATGTTCTGTGCGGTGAAGCCATATGAAGTGACTCAGAATGTAACCGGGAGTCTGGGTCCAAGTCCAAGCTCTGTCTCCCAAGAACAAATTACTCCCTGAACTCTGGGCTCCTCAGCTTATAAAGAGTCTAATAATACAAACAGTGCTCTGGTTGTTGCCAGGATGGGGGAGGGTGGGGGACTGCAGGAGGGAAAGGGCCTCCCATGATATTATGATAGACTGCTCGACAAATACTCTACCACTAAGCCACAGCTTCAGCCTTTAAGAGCTGGAGAAGTTGCTAGGTGGTGGTGGTGCACGCCTTTAATCCCAGCACTTGGGAAGCAGACACAGGCAGATCTCTGAGTCTGAGGTCAGCCTGGTCTACAGAGAAAGTTCTAGGGCAGCCAGGGCTACAGAGAGAAACCCTGTGTTGAAAATAACCAAGTCTAGGAAGATGACTGCTCTGGAACTCAGTTTGTAGACCAGGATAGCCTCAAACTCACAGTGATCCACCTGTCTCTGCCTCCTGAATGCCATCTTAAAGGCATGTGCCACCATCACCTGGCTTAAGTAATGTTTTAAAAGGTTATAATACCACCAAGTTGTCCTGTACTTCCAATTACTTAGGAGGCAAATGTAGAAAGACCCCAAGTTCAAAGTCAACCTGGGAATCTTAGGTGAGACCTCATCTCAAAAAAGCAGATAAAATGAAAGGGGGAAGGGGGAACTGGAGATATAGTTCAGTGCTCGAGCCTGTGCCTAGCATGCCTAGTGCCCTAGGTTCAATCACCATTAGCTCCACAACAGAATAGTAACCTAGTTCTTGGGCCAAAGGGTTCATTGAGAAAGTCAATGTCAGGTGCTCTTAGTGAAAGGAGTAGCTGTTGCTACCAGACAGTGTGTGTGAAGCAGGAGTCTAAGCACTTCGCATGTTATTAACTTCATTTGAGGAGTGAGTATAGCTACTATTTTGCAAGTGGAGAACTGGAAGCCTGGAGAGTTACGTAGTGTGTCCCAGATGCCCACTTGGGAAATGCCCACTGACAGATGCTCTTGGCACTGTGAGACAAAGAAGAATTTTAAGACTCATGGACTGCAACAAGAGACCTAGCTAGACTCATGGTACTGGTACTGAGAGGTACGGGAGTTCTGAGGCCCCATCTCCTGTTGTCTAGGGGTGGGAATGTGTGTCTCAAAGGTGAGCTTGAGGAATGGGTACAATTTACAGTCTGGCTGAAGGAAGCCGAGCAGCTAGCCATAGGTAGGAATAAGGCAAAGAGACCACTTAGGCTGGAGCAGCAAGAGAGTAGAAGTGGAAGATGAGAAGAAGAGCCATTTAAGTTGGGGGTGAGGGGCCTGGCGGTGGTGGCACACACCTTTAATCCCAGCACTCGGGAGGCAGAGGCAGGTGGATCTCTGTGGTTCGAGACCAAGCCTGGTCTACCGAGCAAGTTCCAGGACAGGCTCCAAAACAATACAGAGAAACCCTGTCTCGAAAAACCAAAAAAAGAAAAAAGAAGGGGGGGTGAGGCTTGGGGGAGTGGCAAGATGGCAGGTTAAGAGCACTGGCTGCTCTTCCAGAGGACTGGGTTCAATTCCTAGCACCCACATGGCAGCTCACAACTGTCTGTGACTACAGTTCCAGGGGATCATGCACTCTTACATAGGCACACATGTAGGTAAAACACCAATACACATTAAAAAAAAGACAGGGAGAGGGAAAGCATCTACGAAACCAATTATAAAAAAAAAGCCTCCAGATTTTTCAAAACAAAACACAGGCAGATAGCAGATGGAGGATACGTTGCAAGCTGGATAAGGCATCTGAACTTGACTTGTGGGCTGATGGAATGCTCTGAGGATGACTGAGGCCACTCAGGGTGAGGAGACAAAAGTGGAACAGAAAGGCCGCTGCACTGGGAGCCTGGTTGAAGGACTTCCCATCAGTCCCTGAAAGAGCCATGTTGCTCACAGCAGTGATGGAGAGAAGGGCTTCACAATGGAGGGACTTGGCTGTGTCTGAGAGGCCCTGGGTGACACAGTCTTGAGTTAAAGAGAATGGAGGACTAACAAGAGAGACCTGGTAGCCTCAATGAGATGATTAAGATTTCTGGGGAAGGGGGCACTGGAGAGATAGCTCAGTGACTAAAAGTACTTGCTGCTTTCAAAGAGGCCCCCAGTTTGATTCCCAGCACCCACATTGTGGCTCACCATCTTCTGTAACCCCTGTTCCAGAGTTATCCTATACCTTCTCCTGGTTTGTGTGGGTACCAGGCATGCACCTGGACACCGTCATGCATGCAGCAAACACTCATATATGTAAAAAAAAGTTAAGAAAGGCCTTCCAGGGCTAAGGATGTTACAGGATGTAGAGTGCCCAGTATTCACAAGACCACGGCTTGATCTGTAGCACCACATAAACCGGGCATATTATTGCAACC